ACCGGAAGACGAAAAAGAGATAGTAAGAAGAGATCCAATCCAGAGACTCTGCCCGACTGCGATTTAGTCAACCCATTCTGCAGGAACAGTCTTCCCAAGAATATACCAAAACTAACTGTAAATATTGTGTACCTTTTCCTTGTTTCAATACATTTTGTTAACGTACATTTTGTGTTGTATTATTATTATTATTCCATGCTTATCCAAGCTTCAACATATATATACGTATATATTTACACACACACACACACATACACATATATATATATATATATATATATATATATATACACACACATTCACCCCCCCCTCCACACATATATATATATATATATATATTACATTACATTAAGGGATACAGGATTGATTCCTGTTGGAGGCACAATTTTTTGTAAGTAGGTCTTCTCAATTTAGGCCAGTTGTTATTGATTTCACTGTTTAAACCATGATACCAACTCGAACATGTGTAATCTCCCAAAAATAATGTTTATAGTAATATGAAATAATGTTAGTATAATAACAAAAGTATGCAGTTATAGGCTTTAAGAAAGCTTTATTCAACTGAGAATACAAGGTTCATATTTTCTTTATGCACACTTTTTATCGAACAGATGACAGGAAAACGCACCATTTTAAAGCTTTTATACTTTGTCTTATCTTCTCCACTTTTGTTTCAGACTCTATTATGCAACCTACAAACACACTCACACACACGTTCACTTTTTATAAGAAATGGGTTTGAATCTCAACATGCTCAATTTTTCAGTAAGGTGGTGATATCATATTATTTGTATAGAGATGCGATTCCAGTGTGTGGTATCTTTTGGAAAGTGCTTGAAACCATACTATGAGTTGACACAAGACTTTTCAGTGAAATTGATTAGACAATACTTCCAAGATGAGGTTGTGGAAAAAGTCCTGAGACAGCCATGAGTTACTTCACCTTCACAAGTAGTATTAGCAGAGCTGCTGCTTCAATTATCAGTCTTGACCAGACTCACGGACATTATATATATTATCAAACATATATTTATATCATTTTTTACTTTGTTACCTGGACTGTGGAACAGATTTATCGATTATAAAATTTAACCATTAAAATCTCAAAACAAACCAAGAAACTATAAACCACAGATAAAACAAACATATATTTAGGGAAATTGATAAATATCTTTATATTTATGTTTCTTAGAGGGAATTTTAAGATATTCTATTTTTTTTTAAGCTTTCATATTTTCAGACATTATTTATTAATTCTGCCTGATTTCAGGACATTCTCCAAAGTCTTGGAGTGCATTTCCTAAATCAAAATTGGCTTTGAGCCAGACATATGAAAGGCACTTTGCCATTGTACTACTTTCTTTCACTTCCTGTGCATGAATTGTGCACTCTGCAAGAGATATGTCAAGGGTTCTGTAGTAGCTTAGCCAAAAAGGTCATTACCTCTTTAACCCAGGTACCAGAGAATTTCCAATATTCCATCAAACAAACAGAAATACTAGAGCATGCTAAAAAATACTCGGCCTAACCAAGAAGCACGCTCAATAAAAGAATTAGTGCACCGTATTATACTTTTATTTTAATATATGCAGTTATCCCACATATCTATCAAAGAACTTCTTCTAATGACCCCTAAATGGCATTGGTCAGTACCTAGATAGATAACTATTTAATTATATGAGATGTTGTAAACTTGGATGAATGGGTGGTGTAATAGATAACAGCATGGTACTGGAAATTGGTAGCCAAGTTCCAATTCCAGTCAGGTTCATTATATTCCCTTACGCACAAAATACTCTTGGCAAAGGCATGAATCCACCTCTTCTCCCTCCAACTATGGGTTAATTAGTAGGACTTGTATCACAAAATCATTATTATCTAAATATATTTCCTGGTTTTAAATAACCTGCTAGTGTTTGATAAATCATAAAAAAAACAAACGAGCGAGGTGGCATAACCAAAGTACTATATACGTAAAGCATGCAAATGTTTTCTTTTTTCTCATAGTCACAGCATGGCTTAAACATGGGATGTCTCTCATTTCCAATCTAGTGTTGCCTTTGGTCTCCTATGAGCTACATGTCATTATGCCCAAGCATTATCATTATGCCCCAGCAAGGCGATAATTCCACTAGATTGTAGGGTGTTACAGGGAGTGAAAGAGACTGAGAAGACTTCAGTAAGGAAAAGTAAGTTTAAAGGTTCAAAAGGCAGAAAATGGTGACTGATGTTGCATTTAAATCTTTGCATACAAATGCCGTACATTTGCTTAACTATATGCATACATACCAAATAATTTTACCAAAATGTCTCACAGTCATTCAACTGTACATATATAAAATAAGGATATATTTATATTCACTCCTTTTTTGTCCTTTCTATTTAGTCTTTAGAAATAAAATCTTTGTATGCAATAGCTTGTATATTCATTCTTATGCACTCTTGTTTGAAGAAATTTCAATGCAATCACTAATAAATATAAAGTTACTACACTGACACTCTAACATTTGATTCATGGTCTTAAGTAACCTCTTCAGATCGACTTTCATATAAATGTCATGCATATCACAAAACTCATTCAAATATATCTAAACTGTCAGCTGTATGCAACTGATTTATCAGATCAATGGTTAAAGGCAGCTTTGAGCAAATGAAACCTTAAGTCTTAGGAGGCCCATGCTCTTTCAAAACCTTGTGGACTGGTGGCGCTACACAATCTGAAACAAAGAGCATTACCTAATGGCAGAAACCACATCACTTAAAG